TGGGTAAGAAAACGAGCCGGCCTCTCCCCTCTGTCAAACGCCGTTAGTCGTGCGCGGACCTTCGGCGAGTTATCACGTCGATCGTCTAGTCGGTCACAAGGTTTCTTGTTGTTCGCCACCGAGGGAAATTGAGAATGTGTAATCTGTTCCGAGGACGGTAATCTGAAAACTGTGTGTGATAATCTGTGATGTGATGGTGCGTGAGTTGCGTCGATGGTCAAAGGATACATCTCAACCGATTGGAAAAGAGTGGGCACGATTCGGGGATTACAGTTCGCCTCGTACAAATGTTCTGGATGTTCTGCCGTCTGATTTCCCTTCGGACCGGGGAATGATTATTCTCCCTCGAACAAAGGGCAATGGTGATCGGAGGATGATCGTCAAAAATTACAACCTCTATCCGTTTCCGTTCCGGAGTTCTTCGGGATTCCTGCGGATTCGTTCATGTCTCGCTGAGATTGAATCTTTACGATGTCTCTCCATGATCGAGTCTGATTGTGAGATATCTCTCCGAGATCGTTTGCGTGAGGAACAGAATTTGGGTGTTGGCCGAGTCCAGCGATTTGTTGCGGACAGTTTGGGCGCCTCTCGAGCTTGGCTGAATGAGAGTGAGCTTGTTTTCAAAGCGACTCCTTCTCGCGGGTCGTTTGGCTGCTGGTCCCTCCAACTGTCTATGTGGACGAGCCGCATCTGAGGAGGAATTTTCCTATCATTGCTTTCTCGTCCCTGAACCTCAGGAGTCGCTGATTCCATGCCTACGTTCCTGATTCACAGCCGTTGATCGTTTGGCAGCTGCGAGGACCCATCTGAGAGGACGGGTCCTCAAGCGTCGTCGGCGATCACTGGAATCAAACTCGGTCAGCTCGTGGTCAAATCTTTCCCGGTTCCATTTGCTGGCACGTAGCTGTCGAGACTCCGTCCGAAATTCCCGCACTGAATCAGGTGCTCTCCGGGAGCATCATTCCCGCGCAATCGAGAATGTTCATGAACACAGGCTATTCCGAGTTCTGAAGCCGTTCTTTTCACATGGTGCGCGTCCGATGTATCTGAAGATCCCATCAAGCCTGACATCTTGCGTAGGCCTCCATAGCAGCTGCTCACTGCTCTAGAATACTCTGCTCGTGACGACATTGGCCAAAAAACGTGGCTGGGTCGAGTCACCAACCGAACCGACTCACTCCATGTTGTTCGACATTTTCACGGTCCACGTAAGCCGGTGACTGATTCGACACTATCGATGTCGATCCGCCTAACACGACCCGAATGTGAATGTTAACACTTCGCAGGAAACATCTGATCGACGAACGTTGCATAGCTGCTTCATCGAAGGTGTTTCTCATTTTTGGTGGATATCGAGGTGTTCCCGCAAGTTTGTTCCCTGATCGTTTCCTCCCCGGAAATCACGAAAGACAATCGCGGATCTCTATTGTGAGTGTTCATGCATCCGGACGGGTCCTCCGCCAGGAACATCCCCGGAATCGGTCACGCTCTGTGCCAGTGTGTCTTCGTGGGAGATATGTTCTCTGCCTCCTAGGAGTGAGGATTGCATACGAGCTGGTTCGTCCAGCTTACTCAGTGTCGAAGACCCCGGTAGGTCAGCTTTGGAATCCACTCCGTCAAACGGAGCCCATGTTATGGGAAAAGCTCCTTGTGAGGATTTAAGAGGCTTCAAAATCGCTTGTTTACCTCTGCGTACTTCGAGCATCCAGATGAGACTTCTGTCGAAAATCTCGCGGAAGCGTCCAGCTCAGCTCCGGCAGGTTCTCCGCGCTATTCCAAACCTGCCTGCGTAGTTAGCGAGAGAAATATCATCACGGTGTGAATGACTCAGCTTCTCTTCGAAGTTAATCGGCTTCCGAAAGCGGCTCGGGGTCTCAGCGTTTCACGTGTCTGGGAAGCGATCAGACAACGCGTGCTTTTCCGTCCAGTGGCTCAATGCTGGCCAATCGTGGACGTTTCCAGAGAGAGCCTCCGGCTCAAATTTCGTCCGTGACCGTTTGGTGCAATGATCGTCGAGCTCGCAGAGTTACGGGGTCTCTCAGAATGGAAGCTCAGGAGCGGCCAATTCTGCATCCGATCGAGACTGATTATTCCACGGAATGGCGCCCCGATTGCTAAAATGTCCTCTCCGTGAAGGCTCTCCCGCAGTTTTTGGATCAAAAACGAAAATGCCTGCCTCCTCAATCATTAGAGAAATCAGACGTCAGAACACCGTCAGAACTCTCTTCATGAAGCGTCAGAGGGTGCTACGCCGATGTCTCACTTAATCAGAACAGATGAAGCTGTCCTGAAGAGATGAAGAGACTCAAGTTGAAAATCTTCCAGTTCATGAGATCGGGGATTGTGCCTACGGAGTGTTGACGTCTGACGCCGCTTTTTGAGTACGACAAGCGACGCCAAGATGGTTCACTCCGCTCAAGTGAGCAACGCTCAGGTGCAGCAGGTTCAAGTCCAGGTCAATGGGCGGAACCTGATTCTGCTAGGTCGGAAGGAAGTTCGGTGGCGGGATTATCCTCTGAAAGATGTCAGACCAACCAAAGAACACACCGAAGACGTTCCCAGGGTGATCGCCAAAAAGAGGAAGATTGTAAGTTTCTTTTCCCGAGTTTTCCTTTTTCCCTTCTCCAATTCCGGCGATTGGCTTAAACCCCCATAACGAGTGCTACACATCTTAATAATCATCACTATCATTGTATCATCACCATAATAATAATAATTATTATCATCATCATCATTGTCATCACGGAGAAGAGTTCTCTCGCTCGTCGAACATAGAACGCCGAAAGCCCGGGCATCAACATTGGACACTGTGTTTTCTTTTATTCCTCATCTTTTGTGGTTGGTATTCCCGCTTGAAGAATGACGGCGAGCCGAGGGCTTGCCACCAACCCTCGTTCGCTTCGGCCATCTCATCGCGATTATCTTCGCATAATGTTGCCGTAACTTGAAGGATCGGGAAGTTGACATTGTCAGATTGCGCCGGTCACAGCGGAACTCATCATCATCATGAGCGCTTTGCAGCGGCAAATGCTATCGCTGGGGGTCAGTGTGCGTGGATCGGGCAGTGGTCGGCCGGCGTATTCCACACGGGGAATTTCGCGAGCGAACTTGCTGGAATCACTGGAGCTACGTTGGCTCTTCCGTCAGCGTGTTTCCTTGCGCTTCTGGTGACATGAAAGAATCCGGCGGAACATCCCAAGGAATCGGCTCAGCCCCGAAGCGAGCGAAAGAAATTTCGCCGTGAGATGGATGAGGCATTCTGGAATTCGTAGGATACCTTGATTTTTTTCTTCCATTTTTTTCCCTCCCGATCCCGACTCGAGCGAAATGAGGCTCCGTGCGATCGCCACGCCCGCCATAGCGTTCGGGTGACACACGAATCGGCTCCTGCGCGGCGGAATCCTCTCGGTCAGAATCCGATTGAACCATGAACCAATGACACCTTGCGAGAGTTGAACTCGAAGGCGAATTAATTGAAGGTTCCCAAGTGGGACGATCGGTGAGTTGGTACTGCGATTCACCCTCACGGATCCTATCGGAAGGCTTCCCGGAACGTTGCGATGTCGTCTCTTTCTGGAGAAGCACGTGTGCGGAGGACTGCTTCTCCTTCGTCGCCTAGCGTCATAAATAAAAATGAACGAACTCTTAAAAATCGTTGGCCCGTCGTAGTGCAGTCGGATTAGAAGACCAAAATCTATTTCCCATGGAAGAGAGAGAGGAAGAAGAATGCCGCATTAATCGAGATAATGTCATTGCTTCCAATCATATTTGTTCATTGTCGTCTGGAAGTCGGCTCCCAGAGCTCTCGCGGCTCATATTTGCTCGCTTACGATAGACTAGGAAATCTGAAGGAAAAAGTCAAAGGGAAGTCGGAGTGAAAGACTTCCAAATGGAAAACGTCCAGAAGAAAAAACGTCTGCTGGCCCGAACATCGAGTGCTTCCGCAGATTGTTTGTTGGAGTGATTTATCGTGCGGCCGTTGGATGGATCGGTTGCTCGCTCACTCAGTCGTTGGTCGGTCAACCGGTCGGTCTGTTTGTGGGCAGTTCCAAGTATGTCATCACGCGCGGGGCCTTTCCTGAGGGAATACTTTGTACTACCATGGAACTAGCTCCACCGAATTCTCGACAAAGAGTTGCTTGTAGGAAACGGGACGCCTGCCTACCGAGCAGTGTTCTCCCGCGGAATACGGTGACATTCCGAGCCACTTAAACGCGCAGCTCAGCAGGTCGTGATTTCCTCCGGATGTCGAATAGAACACGTATCGATCGATCCGACTCTCGGATAACCGAGTATTCCGAGTCGACTGCTTCGGAAACGGCCCGGAGAACGACGAGTTCGACGAGAGGAACTGTGATCGAGTGTAGGGAATTTCTTTTGGAGGGATTATCATGATTATTATTAGACTACATGAGGGCGACTCAGGTCTTACACGTCGCAGTTATGAGTTCTCTGTAGGCGTACGATGAGGCGGTGCAAGCTCCCAATAAATCGGTGAATGAATTCATAGCAATAGTGCGTGTTGAAATCGAGGGGGTGGTTCTCGCTGTGCTATTGACCGCTCTGTCTGTTCAACTATCGACGTTGCTCTGACTCGTCGCGACTGAGTTTATTTATTTATTCATACATTCTTCCATCCGCTAACCTTTCGGCTTGTCTATCCAACGATCCCGTCGGAATCGGATAGTGGGAGGGCCGCTCCGATTGTTCAAGAGTGAAGTTGGGTGAATCCCTCTCCATGTATTCAATGGTCATTCCCCAGGAAGCTCTGATTCTCCTGGATAAAACCCGATCCTTATACCGAAAGGCATTGCGTTGCCTGATCCGATCCCTTGTCGGCAAGATCTGACCTGAGGGACAGTATGAATTCACCTGGGAAACCAAACAGTTCACCTTCTCCAGAGGGAGATTGAATGCAGGAAGTTAATACATGCAGGAATTGATTGACGACGTCGACGGAAAAACAAACCTTTCCGTGACTTTTCTGTCGTCTTCCACAGATTCGTCCCCATCTTAGTGAGCCTTTGGACTATGAGAGTTTCGTCACGGAAAACCGGACAATTCTGCAGAATGATCCTCACCGGGAAATGCTACTTTTCCCGCCGGACGACATCGCGGTGAGTACTAAGCGATTTGCCGCCACTGCTCGCTGTCCCTCTGGCCCTGAGCGCGGGATCTTAGCTCGGATGTGTAAACTTGAGACGAGCGTCAGTGGTCTCCTCTCGAGAATCGAGCTAGGGTTTTGATAAGACTGACTCCAGGACCTATATATTATGTATTTGGCGAAATTCTCCGCAAAGCCTAGCGGTGAAGCGGCATGTGGTCGCCTCGATATACATATGTTCTCTATTCTACGAAGATTCCCTGTCCGCAGCATCCATTTATCGAATTTCCCATTTACAGCGATCCATCATTCCACGCACCATCAGAACAACAATGCCGACCGTTCCCCAGATTATCAACTCCCTCCAAGAGGGGAAAACCGCCGAGAAGTTACCCCTATTCGTGCGGCAATGCCTCCAAACTTATTCGTCGGATTGGATCAGAGTCATTTTCAAATACAGCAAATATGGAGCGACGTACAAAGAGCTCGTCGAAAGACCGGCAGATCTGCAGGAGCACATTTACGAGGTCGACGCCGAAACTGATATCCGAGATGCGGTAGGCTCAAGTTCCTGACGCGAAACCTGAATCGGCTCCGAAACAGAAAAAATCATTGCAGAGACATCAGTAGCTTCGACGAGCCGCTACATAGGAAATCTTTCTGATTCGTCACATCCTTTCAGAATTCGCGCTCGGAGGAAAGCTGTGTTGTCAGAGAAGGCTGGATCTTGAAAGGACCAGAGCTCGGGAGTGATTCACTTTTGGCTTTAGCGACCAAATCGTTCAAGAAACGCTTCATGGTACTCAAGCGAGGAGTTGACGGAGTACACATTCTAGAATTCTATAAAGATGAGAGGAAAACGGATTGCAAGGGAACGCTCTCCATGGAAGATTGTACAGGGGTAAGGCTCCCGATTGATGAGAGTATTGAGGTTTGATAGTCGAAGGAGATAGGAAACTCGGCTCAGGATCCTAAACCGCCGCGTACTCAGCATCGTACACTGACCGCTGGAACTTTCTGTCCTCTAGGTTAGAGATAATGTTCGTAAACCAAATAAATACTGCTTCGAGTTGGAAGGGAAGGAGAGTAAACTCTGCGTCCTAGCTGCGGACTCAGCTCTAGACCAAGACGGTTGGATAGGTTTGATGAGAGCAATCATCAAGTCTTCCAGACACTTGAATGAGGCCAAGAAAAGTAACGGTACGGTGACGTCGCCCGAAGGTGAGTCTCCGACGATCGACCTAGATGCATATCTCGGATTCGGAAAATGTGGTCGTCGAAGAATGTTTGAGGAAACTCTTCTCTCCTCCTTACAGAGACGCTGCCTGTCTCTTTGAACGGCACACCGAACGGTAACTCTCTGAAGTCCCTTGAACACTCGAAAAATCCTGATCTTGTGAAGTATGCCCGCGAGACAGAATACACAATTGCTCATGCCCGGAAACAGAATCGACAGAATATTTTTGCGATTTATCCCGATCTCGCCCTAACGGAAAGTGCTCACCAAATAAGCGAATACGACAAAGTCGCCAAACCATTCGAGGAACAGAAAGACATTCGCCTATTTATTCGATGCGAAGGGATCCATTTCGACCTCCAAGCGCCCATGGAGGATTCTGGGCATCTCTGTCAGGTTGAGCCGTACATCACGACCATGGCGATCTACGATATTCGGCGGATGCGGAAAGTATCCGAAGATTTCCGTTTCGACGTGAACAATCCGTACATCAGGAACATGCTGCCGATAAGCAGAAAGAACAGTACTTCGTCGTCGAATAACAACGCCGAGGACGACCCTACGGTATCGACCTTCAAGGAGCTGGGGGAAGAATGGCTCGCGTTCCCGAAGCAAGCGATCTTCAGCGTTCAACACAAGGAGCCTGAACTCTTCCTCGTACTACGAATCGAGAAAGTCCTCCAGGGCAGTATCAACCACGCCACTGAGAGTTATCTCCGCGGAACGGCCGACACCGAAGGCAAACAAGGCAGCAAATTGCAGAAACAAGTTCGACAATGCTGTCAACATCTAGGTCACTATCGGATGCCATTCGCGTGGTCTTGTAGACCGATCTGCAAGAAATTCAACGGCGAGGTGGATTTCGAGGCCGAGTTTAGACCCATCTACCGACAAGAATCGTCGAAGTTGTCGGATGAGGATCTGCTGAAGATGCTCACCGACTTGAAAAAACCCGAGAAAGTCAAACACATGACCGTCATTCCGGGCCGGGTGAGGAGTTCGATCAGGATCGTGAAGTCCGACGAGCAAATCGTCAACTCGTTGACCCCGGCTCTCATCCCGGTCAAGGTGAGGTCTCCAACCACCCAATCGTTGTTGTTGTGCAATTATCGCAAACTCTCTATTGTGGCATACCCGAGCGACGGGGACTTTGAAGGAAATTTACCCGAGTAAAAAATTGCAGCCCTTCCCAATACCGCCGAGGGAAGAACCCACTCTCGAGGTGCAGCAGTTCCCCACGGATGCGCCCTCGGACGCCCATCCATTCTGCACGTATCTGAACCACTTGTATGTGTATCCGAAATGTCTGAAGTACGATGGGCAGAAGTATTTCCCAAAAGCGAGGAATTTATCTTGCTGTGTCGAGCTACGGGATAGCGACGCGGATAACGCGGAGCCGCTCCGTTGCATCTTCGGCCGTCCTGGGGAATCACTGTTCACCTCGAGATCGTATTCTGCGGTCACTCACCACAATCAGAATCCCGATTTCTACGAAGAAGTCAAAATTGCCTTACCGTTGCTCATCCATGACAAGCATCATCTTCTCTTTACGTTTTACCATGTCAGCTGTGATACGTCGAAGGCGGGACGACGAGCGAAAGGTGAAAACCCTGCCGTGGAAACCATTGTCGGTGAGTGATGCTAGATGATGAGTATGTTTCGGTGGATCGGGATGCGACGATTATAAAATGAGAAAACAACAGTCGATATGAAATCGCCTTAATCCGAATCCACCTGACAGCCGATGTTCTCCTTAGGCTACGCTTGGCTGCCTTTGCTCGTCAAGGATCGGATGAACGTCTCGTCCGCTGAGCACAATCTGATGGTCTCAGCCAATCTGCCGGGAGGGTACCTATCCTGCAAGCCTTTGGGTTTAGGAAAGGGACTGGCAGGACCGGAAATCAAACCGGTCGACAATGGGAAGGAGATTTTCAAATTGCAGCTCAGAATGGTCAGCACTGTCCAAGCAAAGGACCAATTCCTGCACAGCTTCTTCGTCCAATGCAACAAAGTCTTAGAAAAAGAGAGGGGAATCTCTCTAGATGTCAATGAAGTCAAGGTGAGCGGGGAATTAAGTCCCGGCTGGAGGGGTGGGAAGACTCGGGCGGAGGTCACTAAATGTCGGGTGGAAGGTTTCCTTCGGTTCCTAGAAGTTCACTCCGGTCACTACTTAGAGCGAGGGTGCTACAGCACTCACGCCGTCACTGAGAAATAGGAAATTCTCCGCGTCCATCCTTCCCGCGAATGCTTGGTCCCTCGCCCCGTGGATGGCTTTCGTCCTGTACTCGGTTTTGTACTGTGCAGAAATTGGATGTCTTGATTGTCTGGCATGATCCTCATCTGATTTGACCCGTTAGAAATCCTTGCTCGATGCCGAATGTGTATTCCGCCCCTCCCATCGCATTGTGACTGAGAATGCTTCCTAGTTTGTGTCAAACCACCTAATTATAAGGTAGGAATAATTACTAGAGTTATTCCAATTATTGCAATATAGGTCATTTTCCGCGTGCACTCCTCATTGATGAAGCAATTTGAAGCACCCCACAAATACATTTCGGATGGTTGCGAGCACGCGATTGCACTCTGTAGAGTAGGGTGTCGAAACTGATCTCTCAGACAGGCGGGACCGGAGATGGAGCTCATACTAACGGAAGGCGGCGATCCAACTGAATATAACACTTAACAATAACTCATCGCTCTACCAGTCTAATTTGAACTAACCACGGGACTGCCCGAAATCGTTGACGCATCTTTCTCTTACAAAACTCAAGCAACGTCTCCTTCCCCTTCTTCCCCATGCGAACTCCAGGAACAGGCTTACGCGGATTCCAACCTTGGGAGAGAAATAACTAAATTGATCAAGGTAAATCAAGCAAAATCTAGCCGGAGTGCTCGAGGAGAAGACGGAGCGCGAAAACAGGCCGGAGGAAATTACGCCAAGACCTTCAAACGATCTCACGATATTAGGGAATGAATTCGTTTACGGCGCGAAGTCGGTTGCTCCTTTGCCGCGCGCAGCATAATAAAACAGGACGTCCGTTCGCTGTATACGACCGACTCTCAGAGTCGAAATGATTACGGACGCGATTCGACTTACTCTTTATCCCGGATAAAAACTCGTGTTTCATGTTTTCGCTATGTACGTCTTCGACTATGTGTAATTTCCAGCCAAAGTAGGCTCGATGTCCCGATATCAGGGAATCATGTGATCGATTGAAGTAAATTGTTGATTGCGTTGTAGGCTCTACATGCTGTTGAAGGACACACACTGGTATGCTTTTTACCGACCATCATCAACCAGCTCTTCCGGATGCTGGTGTCAATCAAAAATGAGGATGTGGCCCTCAATATCGTGAGAGTTCTCATCCACGTGGTGACTGTGGTTTCCGAAGCTAGCCCTGGTAATTATGACTTCTCCGTTCAATCTCGGTTTCGTTAGTATCTGGTACTCTGAAGCTCTCCGAGTCGAACTTCAACTCATCCATTTCTTGAATCGATGGGAGTCGTGACAGACTGAACTCATTTGCAGTGAAAGTTGAAGTGCTGCATTCCTACGTGCAGTACGCGTTCACAATTGATTCCGAGACGACAAGGACGACGGTACAAACGCTTCACCAAGAATTATGTCTCGCCTTGTGCAAACTCTTCGCCCAAGCTGACCAAGATTTTCTGGTCATCACTAAGTTCCTGGAGCATTCTTGGTTCTTCCTCCAAATCATGGCGAAGTCCATGGCTTTGTTCCTGCTTAGAACCGAACGCATTAAGGTGAGCTTGATCGTCTGAATTAACGAGCCCCGTACTCTACCCTCCATAGTTTCTTATGCGGACCGCCTAAATTGATATTTCCATCGATATTTCCAGATGCAACGGCAGGAGAGATTCCCAAAGACGTTTGAAGAGCAAGTCCTCAAGTTGGTGCAAGCCATGGCGGTACAGATCTTCAAGAAGTTCCACGAGGGCAAAGATAAAGGAAAAGACAAAAAAGATTGCAAGGAGAAGGAGAAAATCCTGGGCATAGCACAAGCCGCGAATCGAGCGCTCGCGCATCTTCTCAAACGGAGTCTCTCTCTGATGAATCGAGGCTTCTCGTTCCGGCTTATATCGCTCTATCTCGATCGGTTCTCACCTCAGGACGACACGGATTTGCAAAAGCTCAAATTCGAGTTTCTCGAGATCATCTGTTCCCACGAGCATTTCGTCGCTCTCAATCTGCCATCACTGCGCGGCTTCTTTACTAGAGGATACTCTAAAAACTCGAAAGGTGCGTAACATCTTTTTTTCCTCCCTTCAACAGAATTTAAGAAGTCTAACCCGGGAGACTCAGGGTAGCTTCCATTTCGAAAACCTTCTCGATCAAGCATTATATTGTAGCTCCGGGATATCGTCCCAAGACGTCTCGTCGACCGCCTGACCTGTCTCCATAGGTATTCTGATTATGGCCGAACACTCGTCCCACCTATTTCTGACCTTGAGTAGATCGCGCAATGTCCTCCTCTTACTTCATCCTCCCATTCGGTTCTCTTTGAGTTTCCCCGTTTCCATTGCTCAGGTACCGTTTCCCCCATGCCGCTCGTTTTCGAGGAGGAGGTGGCTTTCCCCTCGATGGGTAAGTCGTTCGCTCACCCTGAAACTTGGTGACCGGATCGCACAACTAAGCCACCGTTGACTGGTTGACTGATTAATTACTTGTTGCCCCAATGATGGATTGATTGGTTGACCTAATGACAAGCAGCAAAAATCACTCCGAGTCTCGATCTCGTCGAGCGCACTTTTGCACCTGAGCCCCATGCACTCGCTTCTGATCTTCGACGAGTAGGGTCGAAATGACCGAAGCTTCTCTCACTTGTCCGAGTCGAAGAGAGAAACCAAAATTTCTCGGCTTTTCGCAATCAGACGAAAACCCGATGGATTCCCGAGTCGTGGATTTCCGGTACCTGTCCACGTGTAAATTGTCCCGCTTCTCCCTACTGAATCGTTCTGTCTCAGTTTTCTGTCACTAACCTGTTTGCCAATGATGTCGATCATCAGAAGAAATGAGTCGATATGTGAGAGAAATGTGGAAGTTGCAACAGGAATCGGTAGCAATGGATTTATGTCACATCTCGAATGGATCCTAAACTAGAGGCGACAATTTCGTCGCAGGGTGAGATTCGAGCCTGGATCTCCCCGAAGTTGTCGAGCACCTTCCGCCGTCGGCTCACTCGAATAACGTTTGCGGTGTGTCTGAGAGAGTGAAGCACTGTCTTGAGAGAGGCTTGGTTCCAGTGTTTCGGGGGCGAGCTGACGATTCGATACGACATCCTTCGCTCTTTGCAGATTTCGAAAGCGAGTACAACTTGACCACGGAGTTCTGTCAGGCTCATTATCTGGTCGGAGTCTTGCTCATCGAGCTCCGGGCGGCGCTTTCCGAAATATCCACCCTGCGCAAGATCGCTATTCGCGTTCTCTGCAACGTGCTAGCGAAACATGCTTTCGACGACAGATACCAAGGATCGGTGAGTTGCCCCGAGATACTCGGGGGCCGACGATGGTAGACTTTGATGCCAGCGAACGCTCGGTTCCCACGGCCAGAGAACAGAGGATGTAGCCCAAGTGAGGGGGAAGCCTCCGACAGCTCGCTCACGACTGCCGATTTTTTTCAGTCTCAGCAAATGCGCATCGCTTCCCTTTATTTGCCAGTCATTTCATTGCTGCTGGAAAACATAAATCGTCTACACACCTATCAGAACCACGAAGCTCCGGAACCCCCTCCGACAGCAAGCTCAATCCTCACCTCGATCACGACCATGGACTCAATATCGCTCTCATCCTGTTCCAATGCTTCAAGGAGGACTTCGCAGAACCTCGAATCGTGCGCGTCGTCGACGGTAACTTTGGCGGCGAGCGAAAACGGTTCGCCGGAACATTCGAAGCGGAACACTTTAGTACTCAGCGCGCAAGACCGGGTGAATTTGCGAGACCCGAACTACTTGTCGATCATCGCAGGACAAAGTAAGCCCAACGTGAAATCGGGGCGTTGCCTTCCCCGTCTGATCTAATGCTCTAATTTGAGCTACCCATACTCATGGGATGAATTCTCGATTCCAGCGTCTTCACTTCCACCGTTGTCGAATGGACTGTCGGCGATGTCGAGTGGTTCGCAGACGTCTCTCGAGAGCTCTGCGTCAACACAAACCACTTCAGAATCAAATACTCTCAGAGGGAGCATCAGTCCCGTGCACTCGCACCATGGAGGACATATTCGCAGTCCGTCCATGCCCCTCGGTGGCCTTCTTGGGGTCATGCGATACGACAAGTTTGAACCTCAGGAAGTGAAAGATCTCTTGGTGTCGTTCCTCTACGTCGTGAAACACCTACACGAAGAAGTTCTCATCGGTTGGTGGCAATCCAGCTCCGACGTTGATCTCCTGGACTTCTTCCATCTATTCGAGCTCTGTTTGCATCAATTCAAATACCAGGGCCGAAAGCAGAATCGAATCATTCCAAGTGGCTCGTCAGATGCGTCGAAGTCTATGACGCTCCCACTCAGGACGCAGGCACCGAACTTCAAGGGAGCGGAAGGGAGCGGTTTCTATCGCGCTCTCCTCGAGGCCAACATGGCAACGGAGGTCGGCTTGATAACGCTCGACGTTCTCGGGCTGTATTGCAGCAACTGCAAATCTTCTTTACTCTGCAACGAGGGCGACAACCCCCTCATGAGAATGATATTCGACATTTATGTCAGTTTCCTGCGGGTGGGACAATCGGAAATTCTGCTCAAACACGTTTTTGCCGCCCTTCGAGGCTTCGTCAACAAGTTCCCGCAGGTGTTGTTCGCGGGTAACGCGATCCTGTGCGGGAAATTGTGCTTCGAATTGCTGAGATGTTGCAATTCCAAACTGTCCTCGGTCCGCATGGAAGCGTGTGCTCTGCTCTATCTCTTGATGCGATCCAACTTCGAGTACACGTCCCGTAGAGCTTTCACGAGGGTAAGTGACCTCCACGCATCAGCGCCGGAATGGAGGAAAACGATATATCTGGCTCCCCGATTCTATGGCCAACAATGACGCGCGGGTGACCTTCTCATGGATTTCCTAATTGACAGAAAATTCACCTCCGTGCGATGCTTCCAGGTTCATCTTCAATTGATAGTGTCGGTATCCCGACTACTGGGCGACATCACCAACTTGAACTCGGCCCGTTTCCAAGATTCCTTATCGATCATCAACAATTATGCTGCGGCAGATAAGGCAATACACTCGATTTTCCCAAATCAAGTGAAGGATCTGACCAAAAAGGTGAGAATCTGCTCATTTCACCTCCGGCCTGACGGATCCACGACCCATAACTGCTCGGGGCTCACTGACTCCCGGGAAGATTTTCCTCTCCTCGTGACAAGTTGCTCCGTATAGACCCGAATCTTCCCTTGCAGGTTCGAACGGTTCTCATGGCCACCACAGCCATGAAAGAAAACGAGAAGGACCCCGAGATGCTATTGGACCTCCAACTGCGTCTGGCCAACAGCTATAGCGCCACGCCAGCTCTGAGAAGGACCTGGCTTGAAGCTATGGCCGGCCAACACGAGCGCAACGGCAACCTCACCGAGTCCGCCTATTGTTACCTCCACATGGCAGCCCTGGAGGCAGAATTCCTGCGTCATCAGGGAATCTTCCCGCAGGGCTGCAAGGCTTTCGAGGCAATCTCACCGAACGTTGTTCGTGACGAAAGCAATTTGAAGGAGGATACCGGGACTCACGACTTCCCATACACCGAGGAGTCTCTCATTGAACAGCTAGAGAAATGCGCCACTTTGCTAGACTTAGCGGAGAGATATGAGCTGATGTCGAAAGTGTACATGCTGTGCATACCGTTCTACGAACGCAAGAAAAACTACGAATCCTTAGCAAAGTGCTATCAAGTTCTACACAATTCGTGCCGTAACATCATCGAAGTGGAAGGCTCAGGAAGACGTCTGCTTGGAACATATTACCGAGTCATGTTCTTCGGTGAGTGACTTCCCTCGTCGCGTGAGAGAAGAATGCGCGTCTATCGTCAGTGAATATCTCTAGGCGAACTCCTCAATTTTTTCATCCGAACGTTCCAGGCGAAAGCTATTTCGGAGACGAGCATCAGAAGGAGTATGTGTACAAAGAGCCCAAAGTCACTTCTCTGCCTGAAATCTCCGAGCGCCTCAGACATCTCTATGTCGACAAATTTGGCTCGTCCGACCTCGTCAAGATGATAATGGATTCTAGCCAGGTGAGCCCCGTCGTTGCCTTCTTCTCGATGGGTTGCCGATAGTAGACGTCTATCCGAGACGGTTGTTTGACGTACCCCGATTCTACGCAGGTGAAGGTAAGCGAGCTAGACCCCGCGTGTGCCTACATTCAAGTCACGCACGTTGTCCCGTACTTCGAGGACAAGAAGATATCCGAATTCGAGCGACACAACAACGTCAATTTGTTCATGTTCGAAACCCCATTCACCTTATCCGGCGGGAAACCGAGAGGTGAACTCCATGAGCAGTGCAAACGAAGAACCATTCTCAAAAGTGAGTGCTCGCTCGAGACCTCCGTTTAGGTCTCCCAGCGAATTCTGAGCATAGCTCATAAGCCGTAAAGGAAGACGTCGCCTCTTCCGAAAATTCTTCCGTCCGCTGAAACAGACAATTTTCCAGCGGAATACTGTTTCCCGTATGTCAAAAAACGGATCAACGTTCGTGAGCGTAGATCCTTCGACTTGAGTCCGATTCAAGTCGCGATAGACGAGATGGAAACAAGAATCATCGAGCTCAATCAGGTCATCTCGAAGAAACCCACGGACGTAAAGAAGCTGCAACTCAAACTTCAAGGCAGCATCAGCGTGCAAGTCAACGCCGGGCCATTAGCATACGCGAAAGCGTTCCTCACGCCCTCGGCATCGGTCAACTATCCATCGGTTGAGGTCGAACTGCTGCGGGAGAGCTACGAGCGCTTCTTGGCCTCGTGTCAGAGTGCACTCGACCTCAACGGGAGGGCGATCGCCCCGAATCAGATGGAGTACCAGCAGCAACTGAAGAAGAATTACGCTGATGTTGCCAGACAGCTCGTTGAAATTCAAAGTGACAAGGTCGGTGCATTAACATGCTTTCTTTTGGGAATCATCGTGTTGGGCTCCGATATCAGCTGAGGGCATTTCATCCCGATTTCGCATTGAATTTGTTCCTCCATCTCCCTTCGCAGCCCTCCATGATCCCCACAACGGACTGCGAGACCTCATCTAACGGATCGTCATCTTCGACCAAGCGACTCTCTTCCGAAGTCATCCATTTCATGAGCGGCACCCCTGGTTCTAGTACCGCGTGAATGGAACACAGAGACCCGAACGTCGATGTCTACAGCTCATGCTCTGATCTGGATGTCAGAACATTGGGCTGAATGACTCAGCAAGCTTTGTAGTCAAACGGTTCTCTGCCTTAGAGGTGGGAGAGACAGAGACAAGGAACGAATGAGATTTGTAAAAACTTTGGAGACCGATATAATCAGACCGTGCTTTTGTACTTTTGTACTCGTCGATCTGTTTCGCTCCTACGTGGAACGGTCGACGACCAAGTAATAGTATTTAGTGATCGATACTTGTAATTGCTTGTAGTTTCGATGAAGACGTTTTTCCGAGAACATTGAAAGATACATTCGTTTCTGTGGAGCTTCCTCCACAGTTTGGTTGAGCGAACATCGACCCTTGGAGGAAAATTAATGTGCCACTGTTTAGATTGGGTATCATTTACACTTATCGACGGGAATCGCAGATTACTCATTTTCTGTTGTAGATTGCATCCTTTGATGTGTTGTAGCTATCGATCAAGAGCGCGGCATTTAGAATCGGTGCGCCTGATGCTATGATCGATCGACTAGTTGGAGATCAAGCAGAGACATTCCTTCTGCTACTTGAATGCAGACTGTAAAATCGATCGAGAGAGACCTTTGAGCCAGAAATCAAGTCTGTGACCTGTGACCTCACGGCCTTCCGGTCAGGAGGATCTATCTCTCTGGCCTCCCTCGCTTACCTTCGTTGGTCCGTTAATCTCCTTTTCTTGCGCGCAAAACATACGAACGAGTTGGGACGCAACCCTGTACTCTCGCGTGTTCGTACCGCCGCGCGACATGCCGCGGTGGTGCAACGCATCTGAGGTCTTTACCGTTCTCGCCATACCGCCCTAGTCCACTTTTTTTTGCGGGGAAGTTTGCCTCGACTCCTTCTTCTTCTCTAGAGGTTTTGTGGATGGAATTTGAGTTTTTCCCCGCGCCTGATTTTCTCGCGCATGAAATATTCCTTGATCATCCCCGAACTCGTGTTTAGTGCGATTGCAAAGTTTCTTATTAATATATACACTTATTGATATTCGCCTGAGCCCGATACCTGTACATTATTAAAGATTGTTCTGGCTTTGGATGGAATACGAACGAAAGCTTACCTGCATTCAAATCAAGAGCCGGAAATCTTTCATTTTGCAGATATAGCGACAATAAGAATAAAATCGAAGTTTCGGAAAATATAATCTTTCTCTCGCTTCAATCGCGGAGTCCCTTCAGACGGAAAGTCTCGTATTTCTGATTTGAACCCACGTTCGTATCAACGCTGATCGCTACTCCTGTCCATGGCTGTGAGCGTCTATTTGACTAAAGCTGTCTCCCGTCTCAGTGATCCACCGATTCCGAAGTTATAGACGATTTCGCCGCACGTCCGAACCAGCTCATCCATTCACTCTCTCCCCGAGACTGGATCCTTCACCGGATAAACATAACACAAGAATAGAGTCTCTGGATTTCCGTTTCTCTTTATTTTTAATGTATCAATGTATCGATTTCCGAGCGCAATTCCTGACGAGGATTCCGAGTGTCGACATACCGATCGGTACGACATGGGACGCTGGTGCTCGGTAGAGGACCCCGCCAGGTTCCATTATCAGCAACAGAGACTCTCGCGACAGAAGAATAAAGTCCGCTCTTTGCAAGCACTATGGCTCCATTGGACATCTGATACAATATGATAGCGCAGCTCAAACCGTTCGAGGAGCCGATAGGGCGGCCGTCTGTACACTTCTGGTCCTTCCTCCTTCGAGAAGGATGGCTCCTGTATACCGCCAAGGCGACATCGATACTCAGACCAACACTATCGACGGAATCTTCCATTTACACTCTGTCGGTCGCTCCGACTTGAACGATCGATTCATTCCATCGTAGCATCCGTCTGAAGAAGGAACGAAACAAGTGGCAGTGGTCTACTGCTTCCGCGGTTGCTGGACAAACTTCGGCTGCTGACTGTTTTTGGGTCGGAGATCATGGGTTGGCAGAGGCTTGTTCTCATGGAAAGCTTTGACCGCCTCTGCAGGAAAATCAGCATCGCCCTGGAATGGAAAATGTTCGCGGTGATCCGGATATTCGTGTCCCGAGATATTGCTCCACGACTGCTATCGCCAAGCGGACCCCCTCACGATAGGTCCGATGAAGCGAGCATAAGCGATACAGTGACGTCAACGCAGAACAGCATCAGCAAATACCGATCCTAGGCGTAGGCGCGCGGAGGGAGGCTTGGCTCCACCAGGATATTCTAAGCGCTCGCCACAATGGGCTGCTTTCTCGATTAGACAGCTCGTCGAGAATCTATCCACAACAATGTTCAAAGTTGTCAAACAAAGGCCAGACTTGTTTTTGTCGAAAGCGCAGTCTCGGAGACCCGAGATGACTGCATAGACTAGTCTAGAGCTGAATGAACGGACGAGCGAGTCTATACGTCGAAAACAAGTTACGCCGTCCGAAAGCCGCTCTAGGGCTCTTGAAAATTCGCGATCGATTGATCGAGGGGGGCATGCAGCTCAGCTAGGACGTGGAGTGAAATTTACGGCGCTTACCTTAGCCACGACTCCATTGATGAGTTGCCGATTCTGGGTTTGAACCGCGGAATTGGACAAGGCGACCTCGATGTTGGTTTGCGGAGGGGGTGAGCCAGAGACGGTCTTTTCCGTTTTGTGTTGAGTGATCCGCATACCACCCGCCTTATCTGCAGGATTGAGAGAGGTTCGAGCTTCTTTTCACATAATCAATCGAGGAGGGATCAATTTATTTGAACAATATGCGGTTCATTTACGCCGACGATGAATTTCCTCTACGTGAACCCATCGACGGAATCGTCGCGAATTCTAGGGAACTTTGACGCGTCGAAATACAAGGGAGGTAGCCATTCTTCCGGGGAAACCCAACGAAAACGGATCTAACGGGCTCGGAGCCAGCAGTGGATATCGGCATGCCCATCCGGCAGCAACTATCAAGAGGCACACAGCAGGGAGACATTTCGGATACCGCTGAGAACAGGTTTAGACCAAGCCACGCGATAACTGAGCAGCATCGACTTTCTTGATCCGAGCAACCAAGAGTTAACCACCTTCTGACGCGGAATGCCCCCACGACGTCGGAAATTCGGGGAAAGGGGGGAATACCGGTGAGGACGACCGGAAATTTTCTGTCTCGCCTTCCTCGGGGGCTCCCCGGAAACCGAATGAAACCGTTGCTGCTAATAAGCTAGGGCTACCAGGGCCAGATAGTGTCTCGTTTTCTGCTGCAACCTATACTTTCGCAATCGAATCTTTTCGATGACAACTTGCTTCGGGGAGCGTTTCCACGGGCGTAGCCTTCTCACTGACGAGAGTACCGTCATCAGGAAATTCGAGCGGATCGAAAGAACAAGCCGGCTAGGACAGCTCTATAGGGAGGATGCTCGTTCATCTATTCGGAGTTTGTGCTCCGGGCGGCGTTTCTATTGCTCGTCGCCCAATCGCTGAGCGAGTCAATCGAGCAGCCGGTCGAAAGCCACGCGATACCAAGAGTCACGTAGACCGCTCACGAAGATCGACGCCGCTGAACGCGGCGGCGCTCGACCCACGTTTGTTCATAGTAATAATAGTGCGGCGTGTGACGGAGCTGAGACGATATCACACGTGGTCGAGAAATGGTTGGCGACGCGTTTCATGTGGGAAAAACTGCTGAACCTCGAGAGATCGCTCCAAGACTTTGTCGTTAGCTCGAGTGGACCCTCCATCATCATGGCATGATGCATCCATTCGACAGCATGCGAGCCTATGAAGTTTCCCACCTAATAAGACACTGCTTGTCAGACTATGGATAGAATGAAATTTTCGCTCTCGGTGGATCTCGTACCGAAATATCTCCCGTGCCGCGTTCCGAGGATCATGGCATGCCATCGCTCTTGCCGTACTCGCGTACGACGAGCCGTCACGTGCTGTTTCGTAAACTGCGCACTTGTACTCGAGAATTTTTTTTCGGAATTCACGGATTGCGAGAAAAACGAGGTGTCATTCTAGCTCAAGGAGAAATTTCAAGGCCGGTTCCCAGCCGGACCGGCTGCCGCCAGCCTTCAATAGGAGCGTCAATCGCAATTTCCAACAACTGCGTGTCAGATCCGCGTGTATCAAGAAGATGGGGATCCTCGGGCATGTTTCGTGGATGATGCACCGTACAATGACTCAACTCACCAGCTGGCGGATGACCCGCCTTCAGCTCGGTCTCGGCGGAATTCGGCATGCTGGTGGCAGAGAAGATATCGTTCACTTTTTGAACAGCTGTCAATGCTTTAGACTACACTCCTTTGCGCGCTTGCTTGGTGTACGAGAGAGCTACGCCGCATTTACGTGTAGCCATTCCCTTCCCCTCTCTCTCACTCTCGAGCGTCTCTCTCAAGCCGCAAAGCCGCTCCTTCTTATTGGGAACCTCCTGGTCCCGGCTCGCGACTGGAACGATCCTCATTCGGACCGCGGCAGACTCCACACGTAAGGACGTGCCGTGGGGTTGCCATGCGCAATTTCGCGTAACGTCTTGGTAAAGAAATAACTCTTCGGGAAAGGCGAGTGAAAAAAAGAGTTTGATGATGACCATGATCTTTGCTGAGCGAGCGTGTAAGCATCGGGCAGCTCGCTAAACCGAAAAGGAGCATGAGTCTCGATTTTCGACCGATGGCTGTGCTCATTCGAAGTCAATTTAGGTATCGATTCGGTCAATCAAGGCTGTGGCACCCTGTCGATTGTCCCCTCCGGAATTCTATTCCCATTGAAATCGTCTGACTTAAGTTAGTGTCGCAGAGCTTCCGTCGATTCCCTACTATGCACCTATGTCTTACTCTCTTTCAACTTGGATAACTAAGGTGTCTCTATGTAAGTGAGTTCTATCGTGCAATTCTGCGAGTTCTCGCAGCCTGTTCGGCTGCCTATATTGCGGATTTCCAGGGTCTCTTAACCTGAATCCTGAGACTCTCAATGCCGGGATGTCTCGACCCTTGTGGTAGGTATCGTCCCACAACGGGTCTCAGAAATTGAAATTCGCTGAGGATTCGAAAAGCCCCAGTGTTTGGGTCATGTTTCGGTGGACCAAGCTGCCGACGTCATCGAGCTCGGCAGCTTGAGCGAATTGAAGGTAAGGTTTTGAGCCGTTCAAGTGGGGAACGGCACGGCTTGCTCGAGCGAGCTCGAAGCATGCAGAGTGGATGCTGCGAAGTATTGCCTATCAAGTTGGATATTCCTGCGGAAAGACGGCAACTCACGAACGGGGAGAGAGGCAGGAGGCTGGAATCACTATGAATTCTCGACAGCAATGAAATGCAGCGTCGAGCCGAAGGGAATAGGCTTGGATGGAGTGAAATCGTACTTTTCCCCGAACGATTGCTCTGAGAATTCCAAATCCAATCAGCTGTCTACCTCTGATTGTGAATCGGAAGCCACAGTAGCCGCTTCCGGATGTTCCAGAGCGAGTAGTTTGCGTGAAATGAGGGAATCATGATTTTTTCCCTGCAGCAGCGAGGACTCCACGCGTCATTTCGAAGGATTATTGCTCGCCGGGGCACCCCCACGCCGGATTTGTGCCTCGACGGCGGTGCCGGATCGTCACGTTACTCGCTGCCTCTCGCTCATGCGAGATGTCGCATCCACCATGCGCGCCCGCAAAAAGTAGCATCTCAGACACAGAAGTCCCGCTCTCCCGGAAATCTTCGAGTCATGTCGCTCAAACGTAAGTCGACGTCGGTCGTCGATGCATCCCCATGCGAAGTCGAATGAAACGAACACGACTGGACTGTGCTCAGAAGAAAAGCAAGTTGAACTCGGTGGGAGACCTGGCGCGGGTTCGTTTGACCAGATCGTGCCTCGAAAAAGAAGAGCGATCACCGATGTTCCAGAAGGCCGTTGTCGGACGTCTCGTCAGGATCGGAATGGCCGGGAAGTACGAGATCGCAGAGGTGATCGATGTGGTTGAATTGCCGTATTCGTACGCATTGGGCACGACGCAAATCCGAAAGGGGCTGAAGGTCAGGCTCGGGAGTGAGCACCGAGTCTTCCGGATGGATCACGTCTCCAACCAAAGCTTCGCTCAGAGCGAGATTGAGGAGTTCGTGGCGACGTCAATCGCGACTATTCCGTCGTCCGGAACCCTCATCGCACGAAAACTCGAGGACTCCCAGCGATCGGGAAGCTCCGGACATCCCTCGGCCAGAACCCAAAACAAAGTCGCCTCCTCGAAGGGAAGGGAGGCTGCAAGGAAAGAGGCAAAGGACCATAGACCATCCCCTAGGAGTGTCCTTAGTCTCGAGAAGTGCAAGAAAAGACGAGGAATGGCTCAGTGAGACTCCGCTCTAGTAAGGCAGTTGAGAAGTCTCATCTCATGTCTGCCAATGTGAACTCAATATAAAAATATATACGCCGAATAAACGCAATCGATAAGAAAGAAATCCCCCGGAAAGTTAGCTTGACGACCCATCGAATTAAATCTCGGATTGAATATGGAAAGAAGAAAGCGGAGCCACTCGGTTGTGAGCCGATAGAGGAGCCACTCGGTTGTGAGCCGATAGAGGAGCCAAACTGCAGTTTCCCCTCCCCCATGGCAGGGAACGGGGTCTGTATTGATGAGGAAAGAGGACTTTGTACTAGGGCGGGCACAGAATTTTTTTTGGGGGGGCAACTATAGTTTAGGAGGGGTCCAGACGACCAAGAATGATGACGCGCCTTCTCGGGATCCATACTCTAGCATTGAAACCGAAGAATTTTGGTAGGGGCCATGGCCCCCTTGGCACCCCCCCTGTGCGCGCCTCTGTATGTACTGTCAAACCCGCTCTGGGTGCGAACGATGCAGAAGGATAGACGGACGCCTCGAAGAGGAAGAAGGCAAGGAATGCGAAAGTAGATGGCGGAAGGTTCCGTGAGACGCACCTCAAGGGAATCAATTGTGAAATTCGATTTCTCAAGTGTCCATCAATGTCTGGGCACGCGGCACATTTCTTCTGCCGGATAAATGTCCTAAATCGGAAAGGTGTGACATGCTCTGAGGTATTCAGGTCCCCGCCCATCCTCAAGCGAAAATTATGGAGGCATAGCTTTCCTCACTAATGTTGATAACGATGGAGAATAGGAGAAAAAATAGGAAAACAGAGGGGCAGAAGAAGGCAGAACTGATCGACGAAGAGCATTTTAAGGGGCATCTAGCACCGTAGGTCTGCATAAGAACATTATTTGACCCTGTAGATGCGGTATAGGGTACAGACACACGAATTCTGGTATTTTCCTTCTGCGGATTTCCAACGGCTCCAATAACCGTCCCAGTATATCGACTCCGTGACGTCAGTGGAACCCGACATGGCGGTTCAGATAGAATCGGTCGTGTTTGACTAGTTTGATGTCAATGGTCCTGACGATTTGGGCCCGCCGCGGCGGATACGAGTGTTTGGCAGCTAGGTTTCTGACGATTTCCTCAGAGCGACTCGGATTTATGACGAGACATTTGGTGAGCAGACACTGTAAGAAGGAACTCTTGAAGGGTAGGATGCCGGCTTTCTGGTTTAGTGGTCCAGCAAGCTCTCTTCCCCCGACCCGGAATTCGCGACGAATACCCTGACTTTGTAGTGATTCTATGGAGGTGAGCGAGTTTTGGAATGCCGAGCCGTAGGCAAGGAGAGAATATCGCAGATGAGATGCGGCTTTGTAGACGATCACAGTCGTCCTAAGCGAGATTCGGGAGATCGTTGACGCTGCGGCTCTCTGACGAACGAGGAGGGACTGAATATGGGGCTTCCAGTCGAGATCCTCATCTGAGATCACTCCCAGGTCTCGTATGGAGGAGACGTTCCTCAGACGTGCCGCAGGCGCAGACACCTAATCGTGTACTACCTGCCATGTGTAGCTCGCTGTCCACTCTATCTTTTATTTGCAAGGAGCAGAATATAATGTAATCAGTAATCAGTAATCAGATTCCTCCGCATTGAGCAACAATCCGTTGCGAGAGTACCAGTCACCCACCCGGACCAACGAGGACTCCGAAAACTTCTAGTTTATCTGTCTTCGGAAGCTGACGAGGAGACAAGTGTCACCCGCGGAACCGACGAAGGAAACGCACTGAGCTCTGTACAATAGGGGATCGTTGACGAAGATTGTGATTTACCTGACGAGCAAAGGCGAGAACGATCCCCCCTCTCCTGACCACCGCAGCGCTCCACTTGATCGAGTTCCCCCAATTCGGGGCCTGTGACCATCCCTGAGGATTCGACTCGAGAACTCCGACCAAGCCCATCGTCACCCGCCCGTCTCAGCTTGTTCAAGAGCCTCCGGAGGGGCACGCAGTCGAAGGCTGATGTGTAGTCCAACTTATTGGCCGCTGGCGATCCATTCCGATTCCTCCAGCACTCGAAGAAATGTGACGGCACCCTGAGTTTTCTTTGCCCTCCTGAATCCGAATCGACGATAATGTTCGAAATGTTTCGTGAGCTCACTTGAGATAACTTGTTCGATTACACGATCGAAGACACTTAGCAAGGCTATGGGTCGATAACTCCTGACCTCGTCAATGTCATCCTCCTTGCGTAGGACCATCACAGTCGCCTCTTCGAGACTATCTGGGTACCCGGATAGTCTCGGTTTGATAGTCCCGCGGTTTGAAGCGCGACTGCGCAAGCCGACTGCACCGCTGACTTTGCAATCCCTCCCCATTCGTCGATATGTCTTCATTGGAACGGAGCTCCAGGAGAATTCTGGTCTCTGATGTCGCCTCTGATCTTCTCTTTTGGAATTGAAGAATACGCGTTACAGTCGGGACTCGCCATGACTGATTAAACCCCGTGAATCATCCATTCGGGAGACATGCGACTCGCCTCTGGTTGTAACGGAGGGTTAAACGTTCGAAGAATTTGGAATATCGTTCTCGGATTCACCCTACCGACGCACAGTGGTAGATTTCCACGGAAATTCATAACTTTTGAGCGGCTCGGCCGATTTTCCTGAAAAAAACCGCAGGCTATTGACTGAGTCTCCAACTCAGTCGGGTAATGGGCGTAGAACTACGCTTTTCTAAATCTTTCGCCCTGCACCTTCGAGAATGATACAACAGGTGATCAGGAACGATCATAAAACAAGTTTATTCGACTAATCTTTCATGCAGAAGAATATAGGTTTATGATAACTGAAATAACTCACATTATTGATTAATATCATTTCACAAGATAAATTCGAGAAGATGAGATCAATACATGAACGATCCCGTGTTGTAGAAAATGAGAAATCTGTTTCGAGATCGAGATTGAAGGTGACTTTCATGAATTGAGTCAAAGCATTTCTCTTTGTCTCGTCTTGGATGTTCCAATTGAAATCCCCGCACAGTA